AAAAAAAAAAAAAAAAAAAAAAACTCTCAAAAAAAAAAAAAAAAAAAGACCCAAGGGTTAAAATTGTAAGATTACTATTACCTTAAAAGTATTTGAAGAATATCAACTGGGTAATTACAATATTAAAGACTGGTATCTAATCATCGAGTCCAACTACTTTACAATAGAGAAATTTGATTAAACCATTATGTTCTGCCAGTACTTTTCCAAAAAAGACTTTCTCCCTAGAATTTCACATTGAAATCATGACACTCCACTAGTACACTCTGAAGCTACTCACTTAGTTTGCTAATAACAGGAAGAAGTCCACCCCAAGTGTGTAAATATTCTGCCCTGAATCCATCCAAAGAAAATAAGAGGGTAGGAGGTGAATCAAACCTGTGTAAAGAGAAAGAAAAGAAAACATTTTAAGAAGCAAAAGACAAACCCAGTGAAAATGTTCTCCTTTTTTGGCACAGGTTCAGTGAAGATGTTCCCCTGAGGTTGGTTTGTAATCATAAGTAAACTAACAAGTTCAGCAAGCACACTCCTAAATGATTGCTTACAAGTACTTACATTCACATACATGCTTTATTGTTTCATAATGCACATATTTCTGTCATCTAACGACTTACTAGCTTACTAGCTATGAAAATATGATAGCATTTTCCCATTGTAGAGAAATATGTTAATTATCAGCAAATACAAATTATGTTTTTGCTTCCATTATTGTTTTTCTTCAGCAACCACTTTCTAATATGTCTTTACTTGAATATAACAGATGGTACCTCATATAGTATAAATTATACTATATTTAGTTTTAAATTTAATATATCTAAAAGATGCAAATATTTAATACAGAAGTTTGAGAGATATTGACTACATTTAAATACATAAATAACAAAGCAATATTTCAAAGGTTAAAATTATCAAACAATGAGGGTGTACACACACACATACACACACACACACACACACAGTTAATATGTATGGTGTGAAAATCCAAAGGAGGAGGCAGAAAAACACATAAGATGTACTCCATAAAAGAGAATTGCTGTGGATGATTTCTACATGGCTATCCCAAAATACTCATGGAAATTTTGCATCTACCAGAATACCTGGTAGATATGTGGGACAAAATTGTGTGAAGGCTTTGCAATGCAAGTTTATTTAGTAATTTAAAATTTTAAAGTAAATAGGTAGCTTTCCTTGCCTTTTTCAACCCTATCTCCTCCCATCCACCCCTCACACATAAATGCATAAGCAGTCCTTCAAGAAGGAGAGGATTTATACATAATTTCCACTAATTAGTAGTATCTGTAACATGGCTCCCCTTGAAGACTAAAGAAGCAGGTGCATATAGTCTCAACGATTCATATCTGTATAAAAGTACTTCTATTCACTGAGCAGAAAACATAAAAGCCATTTTTCAGATCACCAAGTAAATGTACTGGTACGATAAAATGTGTTCTAAATTATTATCTTTTTACAAAGCAAGGAGTTACATTTTCCATTAAAAGATTAAACATTACAATTGAAAAGATAATGATCAATATTTAGAAGGAAAAAGAAAGATTCAAAATTCACTAAGTCTAAAATTTCCAGTTATGTCATGGCCTGAGAGTACTTAGAAGTCACTTTCTAAAAGACAGCTTAAGAGCACTTAGAAGTCACCCTTAGAAAAAGGCTCTTCTCTTGAACTTATGTAACTTAGGTTTAGTTTTTGCTGCTATTGCTATTGCTGTTTTAAACCAAAAAATTACTATCTCATCCAAAAAGACATTTTATTTAACAGCAAATGAATTAAATACATAAAAAAGCTAAAGTACATGTTTAAAATTTTCAATATTTTGGAAAAACCATTATTTTAAAGATGTAAAAATATACTTCTGAAGGTGAGTAATTTAAATTAAATGGAAGTAGATATCATGTAGCACAAGGATAAGTACATCTAAGATCTTTATAAAAGTTCTATCCTTTAAATTCCACACAAACTCCTTATAAAAACCTAGTATACATAAAGTACTGTACAAAATACTTTAAGGGCAAAAAGAACAAAGGGAAATTATCAAAACTTACATAATATCATCTCACTGATATGCTGCTTTTCCTCAAAATTTATAAGTAGGTCAAAGTACAAAAATAAAAAGAAGGTATAAAATTAATTTGGTTATTAGTTCAGTTCTAAAAACTCTAAAAGATAGTGAAGTTCCTTTCTTCCTAAAAAGGAAGATGCAAATACCTCTGTCTTGTGCTTACATACGCATGGTCTTTTCTCCATTAGATTCTAGAGTAGGGGTCATACCACAATACCGTTAGCGCCAAAAACAAGCTATGGTTAAGAATAATATTTAACAAACCAAGGATTGATTATTATTTTTATCTTCATAATTTGGAATGAGAAAAAAATGATACTGTTTTCCTTCTTCACACTTAATCGTTGTATATCTCCATAGCACACAATTTAGTTTCTCAAAAACATGCATTATGTTACCATCGAATCAATGATACTACCATATACATCTTTCCCATTGAAGAAATTTGCATTCTTAAGTGTGTCTAGTACTTCCTTCCTGAGCCCCTGCTACCTACTCACTATC